TAGACTGGTCGATTTGCTAATTAAATGCAAGCAGCGTTGGTTTTCGTGAGACGCCGGCGCGACGCCCGAGAAATCTTAGCGACAATCGAGTCGCGCACGGCCACTTACTATTTAAGGGTTATTCTTGAATGTTAAATGTTAAATTATTCACTCCCGATAATTAATATATCGATGATAAATTTTATGCGATATTGAGTCTTATTGCTAGCCGTTCAGACACTCAATAAATTATTTATAGGTTATGAAAACAAACACAGTATAAAATATTGTTACTTGTTTAAGATCAGAATTACAATAATTTAATGCTTTGTATTAAAAAAGATAGTAGATTCTAAAAGTCTACGATTACTTAACATCTTTCTATCTAAAATTAGTGTTTTAAATATAAAAATCATACGCAATTTACTCATGAGGGTGCCAATTAGCTACTTCGTAATTTACTAATTACTTAAACACTATTAATCTTTTTTAAGTCATTTGCGAAGTTACGATATGTAATTACAATACTTTATTAAGTAATTAAGGCAATTTAAAGCTAAATTTACAATAACTGTTGCACCGATATGCGCGATTTAAAATTGATTTTGTAACAAAGTAAATGTGATGTCAAAAAGGTCAGGGTGGTATTTATAACTTGTAGGTTAATAAGATAAGCTGTAAGGTAACTTAATCGATAAGTTACTCGTTAAATAAATATATCAAACGAAAATAAAAATGTTTTTTTTTTAAAACTGACACTCTAAATTATAAATAAAATTTAGTAAAAATTCCAGTCATAAAATTACATAATTAAATTTTATTTAACCATTAACTCTTGCCCGCTATTCCGTCCGTGTGGAATTAAAAAAAGTGAGCCTATGTGTTCTTCCAGAGTATCCTCTACGTCTATGCCAAATTTCATGGCGATCCGTTCAGCCGTTTAGGCTACAAACTCTAACAAACATCCATCCATCTAAACTTTCGCATTTGTAATATTAGTACAATATTTTCTTACTCCAAAAACTCTATCAATCTAATAATACTAAGAAAAAAGTCGTACAGTTAACATTTTCATGCAATAATTTCATCAGCTTCAGCTGTAAACATGTAAAAGGCTGTCCTGATTTAACATTGGCAACGTTAAAGTTTACGAAATACCCTGTAGTAAGTTGTTACGTCAGAATATATTAACACTTAACGAACGGCCTTAGCAATTACGAATACGAGAATTACAATATATCGTACAAGTTTTCATACGAATCATTTACAAAGGTTACTGTCAAAGGTGACTTACGCACTCAGAATTGGTCCCTTAGGAAATCAATTAAAACTTTACTAGTCGGAGGTTTTATAGCGAAAAAAAAATCAAGGATTAATGTAGATTTCTTGTACTGAACGTTCACTAAACTCAACGACTAAAGCGACATAATAAAGTTTAGTTTATTCATTTGTGCACTATTATTTGATATTTATATTTATAAAAGCTATCACCCGCGACCCCGTCCGTGTGGTATTAAAAAAAAACAAGTAGCCTATGTGTTCTTCCAGACTATCCTCTATATCTATGCCAAATTTCATTGAGATCCGTTCAGCCGTTTAGGCTACAAACTCTAACAAACATCCATCCATCTAAACTCTCACATTTATAATATTAGTATGATTAATATCAGTATCAGGATTCTGTAACCTAATTAACTATGAAGAACAGAAACAAACTAAACCGTAGGGTAATAAGGACAAAAGTTGTCTCGTCGGCGCCTGCGCAGCTTTTAGTTGCGCTTTTTGCGTCTCGAGCTATTGCTCGCTTGTCTTGCCTAGCCGATACGCTTCGTCTCACTTTACTAGGGTCTTTGTTCGATCAACAGGTATTCTATTCAATAGACAGGAGGGTTAATGTACAATTAGTGTTTTTGTTAAGGAAATTCTTTTAATAGGCGGCATAGAATTTTGTTCATCTTTTGAACTATTTGTACTATGAAAGATTGTACATGAAAGTGCAAAAGTTATAAGGTTGAAATCATACTAACATACTAATATTATAAACGCGAAAGTTTAGATGGATGGATGTTTGTTAGTGTTTGTAGCCTAAACGGCTGAACGGATCTCGATGACATTTGGTATAGATGTAGAGGATAGTCTGGAAGAACACATAGGCTACTGTGTTTTGTCTTTTTAATTCCACGCGAAAGGAATCGCAGGCAAAAGCTAGTCTTTACATAAATGAATTAACTAATAAGCAACGACAATTTTCACGGACCTGCTTTTATATACATTTTACGTTGCGTTTTTGATACATCTTATGCTCCTTTCGTGTGAATCACACTTTACGGATCGTATTAAAACTTGAAGTTTTGTCAGCCTAATGCCGGTTGTGACTGAATCAAGTTTTAGTTTCGGTATGAGGAAACCACCACGCCATCTGTGGTCGCACCGCGTAAATATCTTTCAATCATTTAGTTTGAAACTTGAAACATTATAAATGTATTTAATATCATTTAACAATTCAATTACAAGTATTTGTAGTAGTTTAAATTTATAATGAACATATTATTATAAGGTAAAAATATATGTAAAGAAAATAACTACATAATTATCTAAAAGTAAAATCTACTAGCACAATTACAAGAAAAACGTAATGACCTTTGCCAACTCTACTTATATTCAACCACAACAATAATCTTAAGATATTATCGGTGTTGTAAGGCGGTTATAATGGTTTCCTACACGAGATAGAGCTATAAAAATTTGTCAGTATTCACGCCTATTTAATACTAACATTAAAATGCTGCTAACTACAAAATATCCAATACGTCTTTTGGAACATTGGAAATTACATTATTAACATTTGTATTTTTGTATTTAATGAAATAACTCAAAAACTACTGGGCCGATTTCAAAAATTCTTTTAGTGTTAAAAAGCTACGTTATCGCTAAGTAACATTAGCATTTTTATATGTATAGATACAGACACTCGTATTAACTAGATAGCTTCTACGTATAGAGTATTATCATTGCCCTTATCCCTTTCACATAGGGTCGATGCACCATGCTACTTCCCACATCAATCTGTTTTCCATCACTTGACTCGTCACTCCCTTCTTAATCATGACATGATTATTATATGCAATCCATCCATCTTTTCATATGGCTACCTCTACCATTGTACTCCTCTAAATTCGAATTCAAAATTCTTGTCACATGAAATTAGAACGAAGTTCCTTAAAACATATTTATACAATTTTTTTCCTCTGTAATATTTATACGAAAACTGTTTTAAATAGAGTTTAAAAATGTAGTTCTTTAACATTTTTCATATCCAAAGATTGTAAGTTAAGTCTTGTTTTCATTTTGTTGATGATACACTCTAGCAGCATTTTAGTTGCATTAATATGTATTCGAGCGCATTATCACGTCTATATTCCGTGAGGCGTGAAGAATTGTCCACTTAATAGAGGCATTCGGGTCAAAGCTTGGTGCACTGCCAGCACGTTTTTCCTTGCGTTAGAAAGGAACAAGTTTTTTATGCGCTTGTTGAAGGTTACTGACGATCATAATTTAATTCAGATATTACGAAACACGACAAACAAATATTGTTATGGATTTAATTGAAGTATTCTGATTGTTTCCTTTGTTATCGATTATTATGATAAGTAACTAGCTGTTGCTCGCGACTTCGCTCGTGTGTATTTAAAAATTAATAAAAAATATAGCCATATTATTTACTGATAACGTAGCTTTTTAATGGTGAATGAATTTTTGAAATTTGCCTAGTAGTTAATGAGTTATTTCAATACAAACAAAAATACAAATCTTTCCTCTTTATAATATTAGATAACTGATTTACAAGAATAAAGTTTTGATTGTGATTCAAAAACAAGACTATTGAGATATCCGAATGTCTTTTTGTATTCCAAAATAATAGACAATAGCAATGGAAGGCGTGAATAGTGAATTTCGGTTGGTTCTTTTATTTGTTTCGCAAACAGAGAGCGGGCTGTCGGTATGCAAACAGCCGCACGCCGACAGAAAACCCCCAATCAAATATTGGTGAAATATTTGATTGGATCCGATGCGTTTTATTTTTCAACCGCAAAGCTTTCGACGATAAATGTTGATGATTTTTGCACTTTAAAACTGATGTAGTGTTTTAACGGAATCATTCAATAGATATAATTACATAACACACAATAGTACACATTTTTTCACAACAAACATTACAAAAAACTTCTATTAAAAATATTAATGCTTTATTTAAATAATCACCAAAAGGTTGAGGCAACATTACTCAACATGCCCTACTATACCAGGGATGTTAAACCAATGGTACAATATTTTAGGCGAGTTACTGATCACAAAATATTATTCACCACGAAAAAAGTAGGCATTATATGTTAGGCGAAGAGATCACTATATCACTATAGTACAGAATGTAAATAACCATAAATTCAAAATTATTTGATATCTATGCCCGCGTTAATATTTTTTAAAAAAGTAGAACGTAGATAGGTAAAGGTTCACCACCCCTGTCTTACATTGCATCAATCGTTAATCATTTAATTGCATTCATCCGTATTTCATAACCACTCATTGCCATGCTTATTGCTAAGCTGTAACTCTTGATAGAGATTGATTAGTTATAAAAAAAGGTTTTATATTGCGTTAACATAACGGTATGCTGACATAAATGATTAAACATCGAATAAGGTGAAGTAATTGCATCGATTTGGATAATCGGAATCGAATTGAAAGTCATTTTACGTTCGTGTTTATTATGAATTACCTCAATTGAAGTCTGTGTACAGTTATTTTATATTCAGACTTGCCGTGTCTATTAGGATATCATAGAAGAGTAAATAGAACGCAGCAAGTTACTGAACCAAGAAAATTCCTTGTTAGTTTTAGAAGGTAGTTACAGCGCCAAGCAGTTGCAACTCTCACTACTTAGAGCGAGACACACTCTTGTCAATTAGGATATCGTCTTTGTTTAGTATTCCTCCTCATAATAATATTTATGTACTCACCAGCAAAGGGAACATCGCAGACGTACTCCTCCACATAGTTGTCTGTGTTCCCGCTACGATCCGTGGCGCCACTGGCGACTGATGCGGCAGACGCGGCGCGCAGCAAACACATCTCAGTCTCCGTTTGACTGTCGCGCAGCATAGATCTCCGTTTGTATTCCTAAGAAAATAGGCATTTGTTACTATCTCATACCCGCTTTTCGATCTATTTATTATTAAACTGTTTTCACTCATTATTCCTTGATGTATGATGAAACCTATTTTGTTATCGTGGAGTTCTTAACTGACTATTATTGTAATGCCTAAATATAGATTTGACATACAAATTCCACAATAAACCACTCTGAGTACAGTTACAGAGTTACAATGGAGGTGACGCTTAACACTTTCCAACTGATATATTTAAAAAGTCGATAGGGATAGCCTAGCAATCCATGTTAACCCATAATGTATCCTTGTAAATAATCTAAATATTGAAACAGTTATGGTGTCATTAAAGTGACTCTGTATTGATGCCTTTAACTTAAGATTTTTCACTCCAAATATGTTTAAGCGTATTTACTCTTACCATATTGATTTTCATATGCACGTTAATCAAAACTTCATCTTATTAAATTACGTACACGTTCACGCACTTCTTGCTAGTTTTTTGATATCAGACACATTTTTTACAACAAAATATATTTGAAGTAACACATTTCATATTTTGCAATGACAAGGAGGACGCCATCTTTTCTATAAAATCAAAATGGCCTTCTTTTGTTTTTCTTCGTATTGTTAAAACAAGTAAAAGAAAACTTTGTTATAGTGCTTTTGTTTTCTTTTATTGTTTATCTCTTTCTCTCATTTTTATTCTTCGCATTTTGGGAATACCATTATTTTTTTTACAAGAAAGACACTAAACGATGCGATTATTGTAGGTAGATCAATTTCACTTACCGCACAATGAATTAATAGATTCTATGAAACAGTGTGTTATGATTTATTATACCTTTTTATAATTTAGTTTTACAAGCAGTGTTAAAATTGAAACAGGATTTATTCTTCCCATCTTATCAGGTTTTTTCTTAATTTAAAAAGTCAAATTCATGTTCACCTGATTGCCGATTGAGTTCTGGCAGGCGCGTGTTTATTTTTATTTTCAGTAACATTAGTCGAGATCAATTTATGAAAATCAAATATCATACTCGGACAGTTAAACTATGGCTCAAAGGTGTAGAAACTAAAGTTATTTTATAATATTGTTTAAGAGTTCATGAACTTAAGTTGACGCACTTGTTTTTAAATTGAAGCAGCGCCTATGGTTAACAAAACTGCAACGTTAATAAGTAGAAATTGCTATGAGATTATTTATTTACCTTTTTTTGAAATTATATGTTGTATTAAAAATTCAAATAAATAACAAGAGTTTACTTTGACAGACACAACGTATCCTCATTAGTTATCCCTATACTAAATGAATGGATAATTAACACAATAAAATAGCAGCATAAACAGAGAAACAAAAAGAAAATCATAAAAAATAAAACAACAAAAGTGACAATAATAAAGCTTTATTAAAATAATAAAACTAAATAAAATCGAAAATAATACAAATGATAGCTTAAAATAACTAAATACTCGAGCTAATTAGTTAAACAAACTGGTATAAACATTTGAACAAAATTGCCTTTTGTTATAAAATAGCAAAACCCCAATATTAAAAATTAACTAATAAATTTTTTTTACATTGCTTTAAAAACCTTTTAATTTATAGAAACAAAATCTGGTTTTTGCTCAATTGTGTTTATATCACTTTGTATTTTAAAAATTAGCAGAGAATAAAATTAACAAAAGGAAAAAAGAAATGCCTCATAATTACTAATTACAAATACTTCAGTCTACTAATAATCGAATACTTCACAACAAATACAGTTGGGATACTTTAATACTCCAACTAAAAATACAGAAATAATAAACATATAACATTCCTAGACTAAGTTAAGCCCGCTATATACACTGTTGTGACAATTTTAACTGAACAATCAAACTGTTCAGTCAAAACTGTATATAGCGTGCTTTTTACTGTCATATTGTTTATACTTTTAGAATTTTTGACGTCTTTAGAATTTCTTAACTTAATAAAGCGGCAGAATTTATTTAATTTATTAAGGCCTCAAATAGTAATAATTATCTTTTATTGAAATCTTAGAAAATAAATTCGCTTTTCGTGTTTTATCTCCTATGTTCTGCTAAAATATTAAACGTAATAAAATACGAATTTCACCATCTTTTCACAAATATATAAATTTTAGTATATTTGTATTAGGAATATTTTTAGTTTTTTTTTTCTTTTACAAATGCAGTAAAATGCCTACATCAAACATTTAATAATTCATTCGATTAAAACTATAGGAAACGTAAATTAAAAATATTAAAAAATTAAAATTTTAACTGCATAGAATACTGATATTAGTGTGTAAAGAAACAATTTAGAAATAACCTAATGGCCTCATAATAAGAAAAATAGATTAAAATGTAACGAAAAATTCTCACTGTTATTGTAAATAATATTAAAAATTAATATTAAAGAAATAGCACCTTAGCGTTTAACTTAACCATCTATTTACATAAAGTATTACTTAAAATACCACTCACAGACATTGGCCACTTAAGCAATCACTTAGTGTAGTTTTCCCACAGTAAATCTGCAATAAGAGTCTACTTAATTGACAACTGTAAGTGGCAATTAGTGATGTTAAGTTATTGAGAGCACCATACGCCAATTTGGCGGTATTTCAGAATATTTTAAATATTCAGAAGTTATTATTAACTATTGGTGACGTCACCCTGCGACTTTTTCCTAATCCTTATCTCTTCCACAACCTCCATAATTAACTGAAATGTTCAAAATTTACTTTGAAAATAAATATACAGGTGCCAAAGAAAGCAAATCGCATGCGTTCTTTAAAACATTGCGTGCTCAAGTTAAAAAAATTATAAGCAATTTAGAAATTGTTATTAAAAAAAACAATGTTAAATACTTTAATTAGATACTTTTAAATATTAGATAACGAATTAAAAAAAAATCATGCTAGAAAAACTCATGCACTTGGATTAATATAATGATTAGTACTACAGTTCACAATTTAAAATAAATGTTACAATACTAGCCTATTCTTTTTTACAAACAGTAAAGTTAAATAACATACAAAAATATTACAAAAGCATTAATTTTAGGCTAAATATCGATATAGCTAAATAACATATGTCTACAAAATATTTAAAATTTAAAATACAATTGTACAGTCGCGAAAACTGTCGGTGTCCTTAAAGCAAACGAACATTTTGTAACGAGCCGAGAAACAAAAATCTATACAACGCAGCTTGTAAATGTGTCTGTACTAAAAAAAAGTCTGGTAGTGATACAAGGCAATGTTTTTTTTTAAATTATATGGTGGCAAACGAGCAAGCGGCCACCTAAATCCGCCATAATGGCGAAGCGACCGCTGCCCATAGACATCCGCAATTGCAGATGCATTGCCTACCCATAATCAACGGAGGAGGAGACGCACATAAAGAGGATATTTCCCCTTCCTATACGTCTCCTCCACCGTCAAATCCACTGAGTATATAGTTGCAATAAACAAGATTTTTTCCCGAAATGGAACACTGCGAATTTCCGCGATTGTACAAACTAATTGTGCATTTAACGTGCTTATATTAATCAGGACTAACCTGACTCAGCGGCCTGATCCGTTCGTGTATGCTGTTCTCTGCTTGTTTGGCTGACGGAGGCGGGTGGTCAGGAGTCGGCGGCTGGTCGTAATGTGTCGGTGACAAGGGAATAGTCGCTTTATGCCTATCGTAATACCGTTCACATTCGCTCGGGCTATTCATCGACTGATCGTCTAATAAACTTTCAAGAGAAGACCGTTCTTGATTCGAGAACTTTCTAGGTCTGTCGTTCATTCTGATCTCGATATTTTCGTAGGAAGGTGGAAAATTGTTACGTTTAAGCTTCCGTCTGGGATTCTGTTCTTTTATGACGACATTTTCGTACATAGCCGTGATGGCGACAGGCTGCGAGCGGTTTTTGAGGCTGGGTCTGGGATTGGGGATGGGTATTACTCTGGCAGAGTTATGGTTCTCCTCATATTCGGCATACGATAGTTTACTGTCCACGTATTGATCTACGGAGCGACCATGCTTGAGGTAATGTTTAGCACCCTGTAACAAAAAACGAAAATTACAAATGCTGTCCAAGTAGTTTCTAATGATCATATTCCTAGAAGACGTTGAATACATTTTTATATCGACTTTGGCTTCAGAAAGCATACATCAACACAGAACTACGGAAAACGTAAGGCTTATATCGAAAGGCTACTAAAATAGTTGACCTAATTAAAACGATATTCTTTTAATTGAAGACCATAATTTCTTAACACTATAAAATCCATTTTGACTTTACTGAAGTACCACAACTTTCATTTTAAATAATTACTCTTTGCGATGAACTCCGTGATTTGGAGGTCATTACCTGTATGTCATCCAAATCATCCTGGCTCCTGGCGTGCGCCCTGAGCTCGTAGCTGTACCCGGAGGAGGGGGAGTTGGCGTGGGTGGGGGACACCGACAGGTTCCGTCGGGGGGGTTTCTTGGGGGGCGTCGGCTGCAATACAAGTACAGCCTCAGTTTGCACACTACAGTTTGTATTTACTGAGATTGGATGACATTTGGCTATTCAATATGCACTCATGTTGACCAGATTTAACATAATGTACAGAAAATGGCCTACTGCTTAATGAGTCCTAGAATGCGTGTATATTTTTAGCTCATCTTTATTGTCAACGCAGCGGAGATAAGTGTCGCAATTGCGTAATTTGAATGGTGACGAGAAAACATTTACGTGTGGTCTAAAAAATAAACTTACTGATAACGCAACTAATTAACTAAGATTTTATTAACATACTATAGCTATTACAAAGTAACATTTATATAACAAAGAGAAGACTAATATAATATATAGGTAAATATATAAATTAGATCAAAAAGTTAGAGCGAAATTATTTATAATATAAGAGACAGAACTTATGTATATGATGCTACGAAAACACCCAAACATTATCAAGTACAACTAATCTGTCAAATTACTAAGAAATAAAAAATCAGACGTATCGCGCATTACTTGGACCACACGGCATTGCCCAAGTGGATCCAGTAATTCAATATCGGGCCGCGGATGAGGGGTAAATTGGTAGCAGCCGGCCACTGAATGGACAATTTTCTACACAAAAGCTCGTTACCACAGGACGCTCCAGATAGAACGATCACTAACAAACTTAGAAACAAAGGATTTATTCAGCACTAATCACAGAGTATAAATAATTCTTGAGTTTTGCACGAAGAGCCAGCTCCTCTACCATCACAAAAGGTATCAAATTTTAAAGCTCATAAAATTCGATTAATGTGCAGTAAAGTTTTCTTACTGCCAACAATAAGGTAAGATGCATAAAACTGATTGTCACGCTGTACAAACACATTAATAAGACGCCTGCGTGTTCCGAGACGGCAATCAACCACCGTTTAAGGCTCGCCGACCGTGACCGATGGGGGTTGTTGGCTTCGCTTGTTGAATCACCAATTTGTCTTTTGGAATTACATTTAAATGTCACGCTACGATTATAATCTGGAAATAGTGTTAACGAAAAAATCATGAAAACATGTAGTTAGATCTCTTTACTTCTAAGATTTTGATTTATAAATTGTAAAAACATCGAGTAATATCATTCCTGGCTACCCTCGTACTCGGAAGGGACACGTATGTTTACGACCGTTTAGTTTGACCCCTTCGGGCTTGACACACTTGGAGACACAGTTGAAATCCCCGCCGGTGCAAACATTTGCGAACGGTTACGTGTTCTGAATATTACTCGACTTCCTGTGCAATTGCATTTGAATATTCTTCAACGTATAGATTGCCTTGATAGCATAAGTTCACTGAATAACGGTTTGATTGTTACCTTTTTACGATTTTATTTTGCATATACGGTTTACTTCATTCTTTTTACTACTTAAGGGGTTGAATTTAACTTTGTCTATAAGAGTATTTCTTGATAATGCCAAAACTTCAGATAATAAAGATCTCATCATATGCGTCTACATAAAAATAGACATGAGATCGAGGTAGGCGTATAATGTTTGCATTGCGTGCTAAAGGATTCAGGTCAAAATGAGTCGAGATTACGCGTAGACTCGCATTTTTCATTTGTCTGCTTTACAATGCTAGATCTTAAATAATCGCAGTGCTCCAGATGTTTTAAATGGTAATTTTATCCAATTGTACAGCAAAAAGACGAAAGACATTAATATGAAAATAAAAACCTCGATATTATGCTCAAACCAGATACGAATTAGGTTTAATAAAATGTCATTATATTCATGTTTAGTTACATGTTGATACAAAATAAACTTTACATGTGTAAATTGCAACATCTCTACAATAATTATGCGACATTCTTCCTCGTAATATTGATAAGCGTAAAACCATCAAAGTTCTGTACCGCTTTCAATCAATATTAATTGCACGCAATTGAAATTATAAAATGCATTACATATTGGACACTCAATCAGAATATTAATTAAAAAGATATTTGCATGCGTGTGTTTGCTGATAAAAGGCTATTAATTTTATCGAAAACATATATCGTTTAGTGTTTAAAATGTCCTGTGATTGCAGGTCAACGAACTTTGTCGACTTAAATTGAGAAATGAGATGCTTACTAGCGAACTTTCTTGTCTCTGGTATTCTTATACATATTTCGAATTATCATCTCCCTGTTCTAACAGGGGTCTTTCTCTAAGGGTCAGCGCGCCAGGATTTAATCCTCCAAGTTATTACATCTTCCGTTAACTCAGATGTCACTCACTGTCTTTATTTCCTTCTCCATATGTAATGAGGTGTAATCTTACTAATATTAAAAATGCGAAAGTTTAGATGGATGTTTGTTAGATATTGTAGCCTAAACTGCTGGACGCATCTCGGTCAAATTTGGCATATATGTAGAGGATTATCTAGAACCAAAAAGTTACTAATTATTTTTTAATTCCACGCGGACGGAGTCTTTTAAGATTAAAAGTTAAAGGTACAATATATAGATTGCGTAAATCATATCGCAACATACAAAATTAAACGTATTTACAGACAGGATACATTTCATAGGCACTTTAACAAGTCCGTTGCAATCACCGGTGTTTTGGCAACAAAAAACAATTCATTTCGCAACATTGTGTAAATCCGTTCAGCGAATATCTAATTCGAGTTTTATAGTACTCATTAATTTAACACTTCAGCACTATTAAGGAAGATTATACCAGTTTATGAGCTAATAAAATATAGAAACTATTAGGTCAGCTACTTCGAGTAGAACTCTGTCGAAAATTTTGAGTTTATGTTTGAAAAGTAAAGTAACACATGCCCGAAAACTTAAAAGAACAGGCAAGAATCTATTTAGAAATAAAACCCTTAAAGTTAATCGAAATAAGAATAAAGAACAAGTGAATAAGCATAAATGATTTTTTAAAGAAAGGCGTGGCAAACGAGCAACAGGAGCACTTTTTGTGGTAATTACACTACAAGTGATACCTATACACGTTGAAAAATTCATTTATTGTTTGGTAGAAAACTAAATACTACATTTTATCCAAAATATTTAAATACTAAAGTGCTTGACTACTTATGCAATAAGAAAGCGGTACGGAACCACAGTCTTCCGTGCATAATTTCCTTCAAAAAAACATAAATATCTTTATTTATTTATTTTATTTATTTATTCATATAAGTATACACAACAGCTAATTTAATCACACAATTATATAGGAAAATAGAACAAGTATACACAAAACAGATAAATTAGCCAACAGGTGCATAACTACATTGTAACAAACAATTTGTTGAGGTTCATTTTTCTAAGTAAGTACATAAGTTATAAAGCGCTAAACAAGATCACGTATACATATTGATATTTCTTTAAATTAGATTAGTTTTTATTTTATTTTATTCTATATCTTAATGTACTATTTACATATATTTAAAGATACACTGTACAACCACATACATTGGTTAAATGGTTTAATAACACATAACATTAATTCGTGATACAAAATACGCAGTACTAAGTGACGTCACCGTACAGAGCTGCGTTTAGTCACGCAGACTAAAAACAGATTAATAAATTAAAACGTATGACTTATGTCGCTAATTAAGTTGTTAAAAGTTCTCCCACGTGCTTCGTCGACTACTGGACTGTAAGCGGGAAATTCCGAATTCTACACACCAAATATATGATTGTTACGGACAAAATACGATGAAAACTTGTATTACGCTTTTTTTATTTGATAGAAAAACTGTTTTTAAAAAAACATCATTATTTGATATAGAAAACAGCAAGTTTACTATACAACAGACTTTATCATCAAGGGTTAATCTAATCAGATTATGAAAAACAACTGTAATGTTGAAAAACACAGAGTTCCAAGAATAATCCTGAAGTTTCAGTAAACATAGATGTTATTAACACATTTATAAATGAAAGACCTTGGTTACGAAAATAACAGATTAATTCGCTGTTAAGGTTAGGATTAATATGATCTTGAAAATTAAATGAAAACGCGAATAAAAAATATCATCTCCGATATATTTAGGGCCTGTCCCACTGAATTGTAAATTGTCTGATAACAATCCAACGTGTAAAATATGTGATGTAAATATCGGATTTTGTTCCCTTATGAGATAGTGACGTCATGTTTAAGCGAGCGTCTATCAGCCAGTGCTGGGTCAGGCCCTTAGTGTTTTAGACATTCATCACAACATTCATGAATTTCATTCATGAATTACATTTAAGCTCATTCGGGTTACAAAGGAGTTAAAGATACAAAGATATAATTTCTTAGTACAGAATTATTTAATTATTGTACTAGTATTCGAATGTTGATGTACTAGAATCGTAATCTACCAATAGCTAACACGCAGCTGCACTGGCCATGCGCCAAGCTTCCATCAGAACTATTTCCGTGGATGCCGAAACTCCGTTACTAAGGAGCAATCTACATCATTACTCAATATTGAGTGAACATTGACGTAAAATACACAAGACTAGTTATCTAAAAGTGTTTACATTCAAAATTAGGTCAGAATAAGAGAAATATTTTTGGACTTTACGTGGCTTATTCTTATAAAGAACCGATTCTTGTAAATAGGATGTTAGTTTGACTGTCGTTTTAGTAATTCATGGTCCATAAAAGAGAAATCTAACCTCAGGGACTGTATAATTGATTATTAAAGACTATGAGTACTATTTTCAGAGTTATTACAATTTATTCCTAGGTTTTACCCGATGTCATAAGATAAGACCATGACACTTAATTCAAGCGTCTATTGAATGGACGAGAATAGGGGAATTATCTTGTTGAATGCGTAGATTCCCCTTGTAATAGCCAAATGCCGAATTACGAATCATAGGAATATAGGTCGTGGAGTCCTTGACATATAAACAACATTGAGTTTATTTTCTATCAAATACCTTGTCGATTGTTTACAATGAACATTAAGATGTTTGAAAGTGCCTATCTTGTACTATATCCTTGATAGAATCGACCCTTAGTGAGCAATTAACGACTAAATGCGGCAATCATTCTTTGAAAAATAATTTGAGTAGTATCTTTTGTTTTAAACTACTCACTCAGAAATTATTCCCTAATAATTCCATAACCAAAAACTTACATTTCAAAAATGTTTCCATAGATTTCACAACACAAACACTGCACAACACACACAAAGTAAACAACGCGTTAGTAATATAAAGTCAGCAAATCTGTCCCGAAATTACACAATTCACAAGCGTCAGTTGCGTCCGCGACGAATCTACTAACCGAGTACGCTGGCCGCGTGCGACGCTCCGGCCATATGGCATGAGATTAAAGGAATCCAACTGTACGTCAATTGCTTGAATATAATAACCAATTGAGCTTCGGCAACAATTAAATATGGTTAGGCACTTCATAATATTTTGCATCCGTCTGAACTGAACCGATTTCAGTCAGAAAACGGTTGCTGTAGATACAAAGTTCATTTATTTCTTACAATACGCATTATGAATATAATTCGAAGAGCATACTAAAAATAAATAAGAGCTTCGTGAGAAAATCAACATTCCCGTTTGCTCCACATGTCAACTAAACAGTTTATGACGTACTCGTCCGTAGCAGGATGTTGCTTTTTAATTATTTTTACTAATCAATAAGTTAAACATACGTTTTTGAGTTGAAAAGAAATTCACATAACTCGGATAGTGTAACCGGTGTATTAAACGACCAGACTTTATGATAAAAAAGATTACATTTACACGTATTAGCAGTGCAATTACCGACATGAAATGCAAGAAAATGCTAGCAACATCGGTGTTATTAATAAGGGATCCTTGTCTAACCATTCCACGAATCAAGTTAAGGTATCCTGGGTGCGTTCGAATTCCAAGAAAAGATTAAAATATAAACGTCATAATAAGAATCTGGCCAACAACAAGTGCATTTGAATGATATAAAGAAATGAAACCTAAAAATGTAGATCTGTAGTTTTTGACTTACCGAAACTTTACTATAGTCGTGGTGATGCGCGAGATGTAAGGGCGCGCAGCTGGAGGCCGCACTGGACACGCTGAGCGCGTCACCCTCGCTTGTACCCTCCGCCTCCTCCCAGCGCCGCCGCCCCGACCCGCTGCGAACACCCCCGGCCCCCCGCACCCGCTCAAGCGAAGCACAGTCAAGCACATCCGTATCTACCCTCGGAACACCGCTGTCGTCCTCATACCCCGACGAAGAACTCTCAGAACTAGCCACACTTATACCGCTCTCGCATTTCGATTCCAAATTATGTTCGGTATCCTCTAAAATCGCTTCAATATCAAATTTAGAATCTCTACTCCCAAATTTAAAAGAGTCGCTGTGTACCCACGGCCGTTTCGTGGTACTTATATCAGATTTTACAGTCTCGGCGTCTGAGATTTCTTCGTCTGTATTGGAGTTATCATCCGAATCATCCTCGGAAGACTCTTCGAGGCATGTTTTAAAAGATGCATCGGATTTAATCGTGACGTTGGAATTACACGATTGCAGTGACCATTGACCGGAGTGTTCCGATGAGCTCGATTGACGTGGCGGTAAATGCACAGTATCAGAAGCTTGTGAGTTAGTGTCGGCTGATGTTGAATGACTACCTATTGATATGACTTCAGCGATATCTTTAACGGAATAACGTTCATAAGATGATGATGATGTCGAAGTGTGAGATGACATTGTTACATATGCAGGAGTATACAGTATGTTGTCATTTGTATAATTACTCGCGACTATTTTTTCAACTTTACCACTAGCATTGGGTTCTTCTAGGTTTGACGGAACTGACTTAATTTTAGTTAAACGCGGTTTTTGTATTGACGAAAAAGGAGAAGCTTCGAGTGTGATATCTGGGGTAGAGATACTTCTCTTTATAGCAGAAAATTTAATAACAAAATCGATATTATTCTTTCTGTGATCATCATGCATTTTGCAGTTTTTGTTGTCGCAGAAACAACGAAATGATGTAGACCTCAACTCCAGTTTGTTTCTGAAATCTTCCATATCAATTATAACTTCTTCGGCCTCAACCTGATTAATTTCTAGCAAGTCCTCCGCGCTGGCATGATTTTTAGGACGTTTCGGCTTACAAAAACATATCGCAGTTTCAAAATAACTGTCTCTCTTTTCGCTAGTGGACAGTCCTGTTGTAAAAGGATCATTATCTTTGAAAAGTGTTTCTCTATTAAATATATCAATAAATTCTTGGACTGTCGGAGCTTTATATATGCAGTGACCTGTACCTTTAATGTGATAATTTGGTAACGTATCTTTTAAAATCGTGCTATTCCATTTGGGTAAATCTCTGACATTCGTTGAATTTCTGTCTAGTTCTATATTAGTGAATGTTTTATGTCTAAAGAGAACTTTCTTACGTCCATTATCTTCAGTTTTCTTATTGGGTAATGTTCCAGTCATTGATAAGCGGATACTCTTATCGTTATCATCGTCAGTGCAATCAACATTTTCCAACGCACTGGCTTCAGTATGGTTAGATGAATCTGACGAATCTGACAGTGTCCTTTGAACTTTAGCTTTATTTGTGTTATTGTCGATAACAGATATTTTAGAATGACGAAATGATTTAGACTTAGTTGATAATAGAATATCCTCTAAATTTGATTCATCAATCATGGAATCAGAAGACAGAGTCGATGACCTACTAATATTAGGAGAAGTATTATTGGATCTTTCTTGGGTCAGTATATTTCGCTTTGGTACTTCCGGTAGTCTTCGTTCCCGTGTTAGAGATATATTTTCATATAACGGTCTTAGTTCTGAATCATCCAATAGTTTTTTGGGGGGAATATGAGTTCTGATAGCTGGTGTTGGACGAGATGGTTTGTTTTCAATAGCGACATTTTCGTACGTCGTTAAATCATTATCTTTCACATTACTATTATTTGATCTCGGTGTTGGTTTCGGTAACTGTGTAATGTTTTGCAAGATCGTAATTGGTTCAATGTAAGAAATTGAACTTTTTGATGAGAATTCATATGATTCGTAACATTCGTTAATCAAAGTGGCTGATTCTAAAGAAGTCGTTGAAATCAAAGATTTACGATTATGTAACACTCTAGGTTCAAATATACTACTAAACTTTGCATCAAAATTCACTGCTTCTGTAGGTGGCGATGGGAAAGAGACGTTGTTGTCATAATTTTCTACGATATCTGTAGAACTATCGACTATGGATTCTTGGGAATCACTTATTTCATTGTTTTCCGATATGTTAGGCAATGATGTTTTAAACCCAGGACAACTTCGATTACTTCGATTAACAGTAGAATCTCTATTTAACGTCCCTAATCTGTCTAAAGAAATAGTATCGAATTCATCGTTACAAATAATATCACCCGACTCCTCCTTTTTCGACAATATTTTAAAAAACTTACTATTGCCGATTAGCAAAGTATTGACAGAGTTTTTACTTTCAGATAGTTTCGATTTAGCATCAGTTTCCGACTCTAAACCCGAGTTGTTAGAAATATTAGGAGCAGAATTAAATTTCGCTTTCAAGCCCAAGCATTTCGAAGCAAGCTTTTTGACAAAACTTTGAGGTTGAATATTTTTTGTTAGAGACGAAGATGACGGAAATAAGCTTTCAGTTTTGTTAGTATTTTTCTGGGTCATTGGGGCTTTCCTGTAAAACACATAAAGCATCAAAATAAAACAAATAATAATTTAATTAACATTTATCTATGATATTATTAGTTATTAGTAAAAGACCTAAATTAACCACCACCAAAAGCGGAGCACCAGAAAATTACCAATCAACAAACAGTTGTTTTACTTGATCTAGTTTCTTTTTAAATAAAATTTGTACTCTGCTTCTACGTCGAGAGCTACTGGTTTCTGACTTACTATCCTCGCCAAAACTTACGTCTTTTTTAACAATTACTTCCGTATCTTTTTCACGAAGTACAACTGGTTTAGCGTTATCCTTGTTCACTTCTAACGAGCTTCGTATACTTTCACAGCTAAGAAAGACCAGTTGACTTGATGATTTGCTTTTATCGTCAATACTTAACGTGTCCCTACAAAAACATAGCAGAGTTTCGTTTTTTTCCTTTTGTTTTGTGAATGGGAATCCGCCAGTGCGTATCGCGGTTGGATCTAAAACCTCGAGATATATGTAATCTGAAGGTTGTCTGTATTTACAGCCATCGTCACCTTTAAAATGAAATTTATCACTAATTTTTGGGAGACTTTGTAAATCGGGTACTGACAATTTTCTTTCATAGATATCCATTGTCATATAACTACTTCTATTATTCGTTGAATCGACTTCATCGAGTCTATCGACCGAATGAGCCTGCATGTTTGTATATATCTCCGGAGACATTTGTGTATAATTGGATGCTTTATCGTCATCCGGTATATTCCGTAGTGGTAACTTTGATGCCAGGGGGGAAATATGACAATATATGGAATTACGATCAGATGAAGATGATGAATCTTTCCTTTGGTAAGTATGTGATGAATGTTTAGATTCACTTCTGGGTAAATTATATTTAGATTTAACTTTCTTCTCCGGTTTAGGTAATGATCGATGTTTAGAAACGGTTGTTGCTACATTTTCATTCGGTAAATTTGATGACGTTTCATACTTAATTGGGTGTGTTACGCTATATTTGCACACTACGTTTTCATATAAAACCGTTGTATCGATACTTTCTTCGTCGTTTATATGATCAACATTCTCGTATAAATTTGTAACATTACTGTAGTTATTCATAAAATTAAAATTTTCCAACTGAGGGAAACTCCGCGAACCTGAGGTGTTAGACACACGAGGGTTACTTTTCAAAATGTTAGAAGCTAGCGACGCACAATAAGCTGAAGAACTTTGTTTACGCGACCTGTGAATCAAATTGTATGCCATAATTGAACATTTATTTCTTTAAAATGAAGTTGTATCGCATTACCCATACTAATATGGGGTGCTATTTGATTTTTATTTTTCTTTTGTAGTGCAACATTTAATTTAGCACGAAGTTCAAAGGATCGTCTTTCAAATTTGACTTCAAATGGTTAGACCCAAGTTCTTTTTCGTTTATCAAAGGACGTACTTTTACTCTCCTCGTTCCGTACAAACGCGTACCTGACCGTTGCTAGATAAAATCAAAGACACGGAAGAATTTAATGAGGGACTCCGCATTGACAGTTTTTGTTTTGGCTCGTTCCTTCAGGGAAGCCTGCACACCTTTTTAACAAAATGGAAAAAAATATCTATTGCCAAGCTGTTTTTTAAATAACCGCGATCTTTAAACATTTGTGCACTTTAAAGTTTAATGCAAAATAAAATATATTTAATTGAGACTTTTATTTAATTTGGATTGCTGGAAACTATTTTTAAATTTAAAACTTTATTTGCTTTAGTAGTTTGCTAAATAGTATCTGTACTTCCCAACTTGTTTTTAAGTTTAACAGTTTAGTTCCGCGAGTATTTCACCCGCTACAATAAAATGGGTATCTTATAGTTATAATATTCAGATAGATTATTTAAATAAAATATACGATGTATAAATGAGATATGAAAAAAGGGACCACAAAAGTGAAAAAAGCATCCAAGATAGCAATCAACGGTTCAAAGGTAGACATATCGTGTGTTATAATTGAGATGGCGCTCTCCAATTAAAACTGAATGTTTACAACCTCCTCTAAAGCGGATCTTTGAATAATTACACTGAGTTTTCTTTAGCGTATTCCCCTTGGGGCGGACGTTTAGCGAACTCAAACGCTGTATTTAAAAATAAAAACATTTCAAAGGGATGCTTTAAACGCAATAATATTTTTAAATGAATTTTGAATAGAATTGATTACTTCATAGTATGTTACTTTTTATTTTAAGTTAAAAAAAGTAGTGTGACAGAAATTTCGGTTTCAGATCAAACCGAGCCAGACCCAAAATTCGGTTTCGGCTGCAACTAAGAGCAAAACCGAAAGTTCGGTTTCGGTTGAAATTTAGAGCAAAGCCCAAAGTTTGATTACAGCTGAAAAACCAGTCTCAGTCGGACAATTTTTAAAAGTCAAAACCAATCGAGACTCAACATTGTGAATAGCACGTTTGTGAATAATTCGTTCGATATAACACTTAGTGGGTTTTTTGCAATTTCCCAACGGCATACATGATCATCTACTTATCAACGCATGCTTTGTTAGATTCAAGTAACAAATAAAGCTTCTAAAACACCATCACCATGATTTTAACCCAAATTATTAAAGAAAAATAAATAGCGTTAGAGCATTATTAGAATTTTCATACAAATTTAAAGGAAATCAACTTCGAAATATGAGAAAAATGTTTAAAACAACATTAGAAAATTCGCATGTTTTGAAATTAATCTCCTTTAAAAAAATAAAACAATAAACTTATTAATACTTCCATAAATTCTAACATATTATAAATAACTATATTTCTAACGATATAATGTTTGAATTTATAAAAGTATTAATGCATTGAAAAATAAAATCCAAATCCATCTATCGCTAGAAATAATTAAAATTTTCTTGAAAGATACAAGATTTATTGATATTATAAATACGAACATTTAGATATCTCCAGAACGGCTTAATGGATTTTTATGAAATTCAGCACAGATGTAGATGAAAGTCTGGAGAAAGACATCATACATAGGTTATTTTTTTTTATTACAGCTAGTGGTATAAACTTACACATGTGAGGAGGCGGGGTACCCTGTGGGACTGTATCCCTGCACGGGGAAGGGCGGCATATCCTCCCAGCTTTCGTGGTTGCATGCCATACTTTCATACTCTACGACGTACAGAAAAAACCAATCACACACATATTTAGCAATATTATAATTGATTCGTTAAAGTTTTTCGGTTATTTTTACTAATATCTTAACAAGAAAGTTTAAATGGATGGATGTTTAGAGTTTGTAGCCAAAACGGTTGAACGGATCTCGACGAAATTTGGCATCGACAAAGAGGACAGTCTTGAAAAACACATAGTATACTTGCTTTGGTTTTTATTTAATTCCACGAGGACGGAGTCGCGGGTGAAAACTAGTTTCTAATAAAATGCATGACATATTTAACCTTTCTAAATGAAACTATTGAATTATAAAATATAAAAACTCACCCCGTATAACCCTTTTGATTCTTTTGGACGCCTCTCCGGAATATTCGAGAAGTAACCTGTCCACTGTCATCCCCTTGTTATTAACGGCGTGAAGGTCCGCCCCCTTCTCCAGCAGCGCGCGCACAACACACGCCTTGCCGAAGCAGGCAGCCTCGTGTAGTGGCGTTCCAGAGTACGATCTCACATTGGGATCGAAACCAGCTTCTAACAAAGCTATCACTACCTCCCTATAGACAAACGTAATTATTGTTATACCGATTAGGCTTGACATTATCCAGAATCGCAGGAAAAGACGAGACACTTGGAAAACTGTAAAACGAACCTATGATAAATTCTGTTTTGAGCTATAACTGGCTCAATGGTGAGATAAAAAAATCGAATGTAAAGCAGATTCATATCAATATTAGACTCGCTTTTCGCTAGCTTTCAAGGAAGTGTGTTAGAAACTTTAAGGCAAAAATACAGGAATGATTTTTGTAGCAACGCGCGATATAATCAACTTTTAAAACATAAACGATATGACTCGAATATAGAACATTTCCTTTGTTACTTTTAAATAAAATTAGCATTAGTTGAGTACAAATAGCAAAATAAATGTCATACTTAGGATATAACAGTATAAATAAAATATGAACGATATTTTTATTGATTACCACTGCTTACTAGAACTGATTCATTAGCATGGACACTGGCCATTGGATTGGTTTGAGGGTGCAATCCAAATCAACTACACATCGTACGCTATTGACGACTAATATATGAATCAAATAAAAATGCAATCGATCATAAAAAACCATGTGTTAGCAAGACATGAAAGTCCTATCCGTCCTCATCATCATCGACTTTCCCTTAGGCCTTATGGAGAGTCGGCACAGTATGTGCTGCTCTTCCATACATCTCTATCAGCCGTCATATCTGAATCCACTCCTTTCTTAAACATATCCTCTTTCACACAATCCATCCATACTTTCTTCGGTCTTCCTCTTCCTTTGTAGCTATCCACATTCTATCTTAACACTTTCTGGTTTATGTCCCCATCATTTCGTCGCATAACATGTCCATACCACGCTAACCTTTTGCTTCTCAATTTCTCCACCACTGGCGCTACTTTCAAACTTCCTATATTGTACACATTCTTAACTTTATCCATTCTTGTCACACCACACATCCATCTTAACATACGCATCTCAGCCACATGCAATCTCCTTTCATCCGCAACTTTAATGGGCCAACATTCAGATCCATACAATACGACAGGTCTTATGATGGACTTGTAGATCTGTCCCTTAAGCCTAAGAGGCATTCTTGGATCACAAGTCACACCAGTAACCTGTCGCCATTTCATAATATATATAAATATACTTACTGCTCCTATTCTCTATAAAAAGAGAGAATACAATTAGGTATGAGTTATGATAACATATAGAGTATAGAGTTATAACTATAGAGTCATCATTATCATCTCCTTATCCTACTCTCGAATGGCGCAACAGGTTTTTGTCCTCCACATAACTCTATACGTCATATCAGTCATCACTTTTTGATCATGTCACCTTTCACGCAATCCATCCATCTCTTTCTACATCTACCTCATTAGTAATGTTATTTATGTCATTAATATAAATATCTTATACTGGATACACCTCAAAGTGCTTTCGTGTCGTCTATCTGTCGGGGAATAATAATTCGATGGTAATATAAAGGCGAGTACACACAATCGCGACTTATTCATATTCATTCGTTCGTTATAACGCTTCAATCGGCCTGTCTGCGAATTAACGCCTGATCACTGCAAATGTTTGTGAAAGGGAGAGCAAGCACAATATAGATGTTCACATAAGTTAATGTAACATGTTAACAAATAATGTTTCCATAGTTTGAAAAAATCGTTAATTTTAGTGTTCAAAATAGTATTATCACAACCAAGCTTGGACCTAACTTGCAATTAGTTCTTACTTTGACAAGTCAATACAAGTCGACTATTTAGAGCAAGCACACCTGACTAAACTATCGCACAACTGTTTAGACTCGCTTTGATTCCTATGAGCTTATATGGAGTTGCGCGCTACTCCTTATTTAGTTGTGCAACTAAACAGTCATATTGGTTGCGAAACAATCGACAATCGCACAGTTGTAAGATAGTTCAGTCGAAGGTGTGCGCCCGCTCTTAATTGATGATTCCTTCAATTCCTATATCGACAGTTTATAGGTACCATCACAAATTATCGAAATCATCAATCTAACGCTAACTAAATCTAAAGGTACAAATAACAAATTACCCAAATTATCAAACTAACAGTAACATGTGTACTACTTACTTGTGTCCATTTTTGCTTGCTCGATGTAAGGGAGTTGAAGACGGGAATATATGTTCCCTCGTGTTGGGATACTTGTAAGGCTGCACTAACAGCGGCCGTGCTCTGAGCATGTGCTGGACCGTCTCTAAACTACAAAAGGGAAAGACAATTAGAAACCGCAATTCGTCCATTTGGTAACTTCAAGATTACCTGTAAAAATGTACACTTAGTAAGCCCCTTTATTGAACATAGATGTTGCTCGCGTATTCCTCCGCGTGAATTTTAAAGACATAGCCTATGTTACTCACTGATAATGTAGCTTATTAATAGTGCAAGAATTTTTGAAATCGGTCCAATAGTTTTTGAGTTATTCCAATACATAAAATACAAATCGTTTTTCATTCTATAATTAGTAGATAGTGTTAAGTAGGAAATCAGTACCGTGCCCTAGTAGCAGTGCAACACTAAATCATTGACGCATTGGATATTCGCGCGCGATTCTGACGGGATTTCTAGTGGAGTGTTTAAATTAATATCGCTAGTTAAAATATTAATTGTTTAAAAGTAGGTATAATAAGTAGCTCTCAAATCCGAATTGCGAAGTATTTTTCGAAAACTGATTGCTTAAGACATGTATGATTTATTTTATTATAAGTTATAAATTCGTTTTGAAACCATACATTAACTTTGATAAAGTTCGCCTGACCACTGGAAACTGTCAAACATGAATAACTTGGTAGCAAGTTGCTCCTGCACGATGTAACTTAAGAATATAGTTCCGTCAACTAGCCAGCTTGCGGCGTAACTTACGTGGTCTTAGATGTACCCTAAACTTGCTTTACGAACTCAAGTGACGGGCTATAGTGAGTTTGAGACGAAACTTAGTTAAGTCGTTAAAGAAACTTCTAAGGCCGCATTTAAAAACACAAATTGCTATACAAAACACATAAATTGCTATACCAAATACATAAAGAATTGTGCAACTATAATAAAATATACAAGTTTCAGATATCATGAAAAATCGGTCGTTTTTCATAATGAGTAGGCAGCGCCACAAATGTAAATGTGTACAGAAAATAGACATACTAACCGTCCATACTGCGCCGCCAAGTCTAAAGCACTTTCATCCTTCAAGTTCCTGAGCTCAGCATCAGCGCCTCTCGACAGCAGCTGTGCAACCACGTCGATATACCCGGACTGAGCGGCTATTAACAACGCTGTCTCTTGATTAGATGTCTGTATAAAAAGTGAAGATAATATAATAACAATACTTATTTTATACCAAAGCTGTAAGTTTGTATTTCGATGTTGTTTAAAATTTCATTAAGACGCCTGTAACTTTCAGTGCGGCAATTTCATGTAATTGTACAACAACTATTATATTTTTACAGGGGTATGTTAGAGACAAACTAACACGCAATGAAAATCTAAATATGGCCAGATACCTTAATCCATTACACAGATTAAAGATGTCTTGATGTAAAATATCATTATTGTTGTCTCTAACAGTTTGCAAATTCTGTTTACAAAGCAAATAAAATATGGATAAATATCTACACCATTAAAATAGTTATTTGTCCATAATCTACGATTATTTTACATCCGTCGTTCTACGTAATCCCATTAGTTGCGGAAGCATAACAATTGCAAAACTCAGTTGAAATGCTAAAAATTACACACTGATAAGGCATTTATTAAACATAAAACTCACTAATGTATTATTATTGATCCGAAAACATTCCAAAGACTAACATCAAACATTTTATTAGTAAAAATAAAATTTTGTTACAGTCCCTAGGGATTTAACCAGCTTTACGAGATGCTTAATTTTTATAACCTCTACGAATACGATAATTGTATTAATTCTTATTTAACAAGAAACAAAACTGTTTCATTCACACTTGAAATAATCTCTCCCTTTCACTGTCCTAGAAAAAAAATGAAATAACATGTTTGTAAGAGTTTTTAAAATTACTCCTTACCCTTTGGTCGATGTTAACTGAAGGATTGTTATGTTCTAACAGCATAGAGACGATATCCGAGTCTCCCTTCCATGCCGCTAGATGGAGTGGTGTCGCTCCCTTCTTGTCCACAACAGTTGGTAACGCGTCCACAGACAGCAGAACTCTGACTATGTCTCTGTAAATAAGGATATATTGAAGACGAATTCAATAAAAAACTACACATCGTGGGTTTCCATGGGTACACATGTAACGAAAAATCAAGCAAAAACCTTGACTGATTGGCAGTAGGGGATTTTATTTCCATTTAACGAACTAGTTGCTCGCGACTTAATCCGCGTGAAATTTAAACGTATAGCATACTAAATACTATACAATTATAATTTCCTATAGAATAAATTGAAAACAAAAGGATAGGATATAATTATTGTACATCCTATTTGATGTACACAAATAGCTTGTGATTTATAATAATTTATACTAATATTATGAAGAGGAAAAATTTGTATTTTTGTATGTATTGAAATAATTCGAAAACTACTGGGCCGATTTGAAAAATTCTTTCAACATTTAAAAGCTACGTTATCAATGAGTAACATAGGCTATACTTTTTTTAATATAACGCGGTCGAAGTCCCGAGCAACAGCTAGCCATTAAATGAAGTTATACGTTTAACAATATTCTGAAACAATGTCTACTATAACTATCCTATCTACATCGTTTTATGTGCATTTCGCGAATAAACATTTTAAACTAATAGATATCAAATACAGTTTTATCAAAGCGCACATTGTACATCAAAACAGACCTATGCAATAGATAACAAATATAATTATAGGTCTGTGACACATGAACGAAATACAATAACCGATGCGTCATGTTATGATAAAAAGTGTATACGCCGCGTTTTTACCAAACCTTGAACTATATTAATTTGCATATGATGCCGAAAATGGAATACGTGATCAAAAACCCTACTTAATAAACTCGTGGTTTTGCGGTTATTAGTTTACCGCGAAACAGTCTGAGAATCGATTAAAATTACTGGAAATTATCAACGTCATAAAACAGAGATCGAAATCTGTTTGAATTTGGTTTAAAGTAATGAATATTTACTTACTTGTGCCCGCGTAAACACGCGTGATGTAGGGGTGTATAGCCGTTATCATCTTGTACGTTGACACCGGCGCCTCTCCGCAAACTGAAACGAAATAAAAAATTAACAAAAAGTATTCGCAGTCGGTAGGATTCGAACCTACGCTCCCAGAGGGAATCTGATTTCTAGTCAGACGCCTTAACCGCTCGGCCACGACTGCTCATGACCGATATGTGAAATCTACAATTTGTTACATAAAATGTCATTAACTTATTCATTTTAAAGTATGTAATTAAAAATTGTCCTCTTCATATTTTATATGTATTTACTAGTTCTGTATTTAGACTATTTATATTACTAAATAACTATTATTGTCAATATATCACTTAACTAATTGTATTAAAAAAATACAATAAGAATTAATTATCTCACAATAACGGCCTTGACATGGAGTTTTCCAACTTAAAGCTGGGGTCAATAACCTGAGTGAACTATCAGATCGAGACAATGCACCTTCATAGACAAAAATAAACATGTAATGAAATTCAAAAACGAACTTTATTCTTCACAGTTAAAGTACATTTTCATTTAAATTAATGATCGTTACCGGATTATAATTCAGCTGTGTCAACGGATTATAGCGCAGCTCTGAGATATATTTTCATATTGCATAATCGAGAAAGAACCAGACTTACTACCGTTACTTTTTACTTACGCACTTAGAATGTACAAAGCAGTATAAAGTGTAAAAGATATAAGTTATACAATAATTTTAAACTCCTAAATAAATAAAACAACAAGGTTGGCGATTACGTTCTCAAGATAGATTACGCGTCAGTGTTATCAATTATGTCCTGCGGCTCAAAGCACCTTGGACAATAAAGCTGGTGTATATTTAAAGTCGATGCTCGGTCGAACAAACAATAAACATTTTACTTCAAAATATATTTACGATACGATAATATTTACCACACATTTGTAAATATTTGGTAGAACAGACGAAAGACTAAAGTGAGAAAATTGTGAACACTTAGAGCGCGCGTACACATGTGTCCAAACTATCGCACAACTGTTTAGTCGCACTTTAATTCCTATGAACTTATTTGGAGGTTCGCACACTACTCGATTTTTAGTTGTACAACTAAACAGTTGAATTGGCTGCGAAAAATCGACAATCGCACGACTGTGTGCGATAGTTTAGTCAAAGGCGTGCGCCCGCTCTAAAGAAAAATTGCAATGTCGATAAGATCGCTCAGAGGTTTTTGTCCTCCACATAACTCATCTCCGTCATCTCAGTAATCACTTCCTTCTTGATCATGTCACCTTTCACGCAATCCATCCACCTCTTTCTATGTCTACCTCTACCGTTGTACCCTTCCACACTCATAACGTTCTCCTTGTTATATGCAATTCATCCCTCCTCGTAACATGCCAATACCATGCTAACATTTTACTCCTTACCTTCTTCCTAACGTGTGTTGGTTCATTACTAAATTAATATTCATAAAGTAGCAACCGCAAACAAGTTAAATTCATATGTAATTTGGATATTATATGGATTCGTAGGGACAAAAAGGTATTCGCTTAGTCATGGATTTGCGTAAATCCTTACCACAATACATTTTTGAGTCACGGTCATGTTTTCATTTTTATTTATAGTAAAATTGTCGTATCGGTTAAATAATAAGTTAATAAACAAGGTCGCTAAAGTAAGATGTAAGTTCTAGAAGAAAGAAAAGGACCACACCCACACACTAATAACTCTTATTTTCTTAAAAAAAGAGAAAAACCTATCAAATTCATATTTCGGAATTACGTTATTTATACCCTTGTCCGAATTGGTTTTTATTCCTAGTAACTATTAAGTACATTTGTTATCGTAGATTTCAAATTATTTTAATTAACTAAATTATTGGTACTGATAATCATACCGCGGCTGGTCTATACACAAAAGTCTAGTCTAGAGCATACTAATGCAGCCATAAGACTGATAAGATTGTGCAAATACTTGAGGTTGACTAGATTAGAACAGCGTAGATGAGTTTATTATTTACTAGCTTTCGCTCGCGACTCCTTCCGCTTGGAATTAAAAAAAAGTGAATAGCCTATGTTTCCTTCTAGACTATCTACATATAAACGACTGAACGAATCTGGATGAAATTCGGTATAGATGTAGAGCATAGTATGGAAGAACACATGAAAGGACGGAGTCGCGGGTGAAAGCTAGTAGTAAAATAGTTTAAAATATGCACAATAGTTTTAAAGTTTTTGCCATTTTAAATAATAATTATTTCTACGTAATAATAGGTGTAGAAATATTGAGAAAAAGTAATCAACAAGCAGAGGGGATCAAAGTAAGCCGACAAAGGTATATTTCTTAGAAGGTTTAGCACATTAGAAATCTCATTTACCTTTTTTTATATTTTTAGCAAAACGGCATAAATATTATATTGCGGTGTTGAAGCAGAACAATAAAAGAGAACTCTTAAATATCCAAAAGCATATCTGTTAATTATATTAATAATTCCTTAATAAAGGAAAAATAGCGTAGATAGAGAAAATATTTATTATTAATTAGAAGGGTTTAATAACACTATGTACTTTTACAAAAAATTAACTATAAATAAGTGACCACAATTTTTCATACCACGTAAGTTAGACAATAACTGCATTGAAAATGAGGAATTTAATTGCCCTATTCAGTCATCAGCATCAAGAGAATTCCAGAGGAACAATGTAATTACCATTGTGTAATATTTCTTAGAAACGTAATCAAGTAACCGAATGAATTCTATTGATCTTTTTTAAAGTTATAAACAATACCACTAAGGACGAAAACACTATTGTTTACGACCAAAAAAGCAAGCGAAATTGATTCTTATATCTATACCACATAAGTTCGACAACACTACAAGTCCATTTAAGAGTTGGCCTCCATTGTAGAAAAGCAAACGTAAACTGTATGTAATTAAATAGTAAACTCGACTATATGTGTGTCTTATGACAATCCGGGGAAGAATACGAATCGAATAACACCTAACTCCTTAAAATCGATTCATTTCTTTAGGCTCCTTACTGTTACATACATACGCACGAAAGACAAACACTCTTGAGACAGACGGGTAAAACCATTGCTATCTTGTTGTTTCAAGAAATAAATGCTTAACATCCAAGGAACAATTTTGGTATAGAAACCCATCTTCGTGAGTCATAGGGAAATTACTGTCCAGTGGGCGTCCAAAGAACACTGAATATATTACTCCGTATTGCTTGTAATATGGTCTCAAGTTATATTTAACTAGTTGTAGCTCGCGACTTCGTCTGCGTGAAATTAAAAAACATAGCCTATGTTACACTGTGTTTTTTTATGAGAATAAAAATCTCTAATGTTACTCACTGATGACGTATCTTTTAAATGGTGAAATAAATTTTGAAATCGGCCCAGTAGATTTTGATTTAGTTCAATACATACATAAATACAAATCTTTATAATTTTAGTATAACGATTTTAGACTAACGTGTAACATCTAATATATCTAAATTATACGGAAGTTTAAAAACGTATTCTAAGCAGCGTGAAAATGACGAGATAAAATTGAGCAAATCATTAAATCCTATAAGACTGAAAACTGATTCTGTTTCCAAAGATGTCTAAAAAAGTGTTTGGTCAAAATCTCACCTATCAATATCAAACATCTTAGCTGTAAACTTCTTAGTTTTAATCCAGTTCCTTTGTATTTGTACTTTCACATCGCTCACATTGAATGCTAAATTTCTTCCACAACATTTTACTGTGCATTCTTCACTAACACACCGAGAATCTCCACTGTCCTTAGACATATTAAATCTCGACCTCTCTTATTGAATGTATAAACAACACTAGTCCAGTGACTCATAGGTACGCTTACAACAGGTTTGGGAATATTAAAAAAATGGACACACGAACAATACAACAATCCCGTCCCCACTTCTTACTAATTGTGTTTAGCTGACATCCTACGATAAGATTGTCGCATACATAATAGATTAGATAATCAAAGTGGTCCAAGGAAATGAATATCGACGCATTTAATTTCATCGGTAAATTAAATTCGAAAGCTAATGAATAGATAACAAACACTTCATAAACATTCAAGCAAAATAACACTTCTATATGACGCATTAGGAGTTGACAATGGGTAAAACCGAGTGAAATTACTAGTACTGGTAATCAAATAAACTTTAATAAATCGTATTTTACGAATAACAAAATTTTCATCGATCACTTTATAGTATGCACTATGTCTCAAATGACGACAGTATTTAAAACAGGTTTCCTCGTAGCAAAGGGAAAACCAACTTCCAAGTATCTCACTTTATTTTGGCTATCAACATCTATTTAAAGACTAGCTTTCGCCCGCGAAATCGTATGCGTGGAATTAAATAAAAACAAAAGCAAGTGCCCTATGTGTTTTTCTAGAACGTCCTCTACATGTCTACCAAATTTCATAGGAATCTGTTCACCCGTTTAAGCTACAAACTCTAACAAACATCCATCCGTCTAAACTTTCGCATTTATAATTTAAGTATGTAGTATGATATGTAGCCTTTTAAAGCGCTAGTATAATAAATTGCAATAAATGTGTGAAAAATACAATGAGCCCTAACGTTTTGACCTCAAAGTTTTACAACTAATATTTTTATTTACAATACAACGCATACATTTTAAGCCACCCAAACAATCGAATGTCTATACTTGCACGTACTTGTATTAAGGACGAACAATGGGCCATGCTTCCAGCACCATGTTTGATAACATTTTATAAGGCTTGTTCACACTATGTTTAGTTTAATTTTTAACACGTAATCTTGTTGTTTAGTACAAGACAGAATCGTGTGAAAAGACTTAACTTAGAATAATAGGCCAAATGTTTGACCCACTTTATAAGAGTTTTCAAGTAGAATATAATGAGGAGCTTATCGACCCAAATCTGATTTCTATAGTCCTCAGCGAAACTTACGATTTTTAACATAAATTATTAAACGTTTGCAAAGACGAAAGAATTAAATGTATGGTGATTATTTTTTTAATAAAAAAGTCCGTGAATTTTTAATTTAATTTCAAC